CTGGTAGGTGGAAAATTAGGTCACAGCGACCTAGCTATCACCGCTTTGGACAATAGCGATGATGTGTTCACCGCCATTGTCCAAAGCGGTGATTAGCAGCCATTATTTCCTATAAATTCCAAACGCCACTTCCTTCCTGCTGCTGCCTTACAACAACCAAATAGAACAAACCCTGTTTTTTTAGTCGGTTTCTCAGCTGGTTTGGAGTTGGTTTACTGCTCAAGAAACTCGTCGGGATTCGGTATGTTAGAATTATGTATTGTTTACATTAATTTGTTTATATATATAGATTAATTATGATATGATAGATGTTAGTTAGTTAGTACTGAATTTAGATTAATTTGTTTAGTTTTCTCATGATAGATCGGGATTGAGTATGTTATAAGTATGTATTTTTTACATGTTGAGCTGTTAGTATGAATATGTCTGTATTTAGTGAATCGCGGTTATTGGAAAATATGTTATGATATATTTAGATTAATTATGATATGATAGATGTTGGTTAGTTGGTACTGAATTAGATTAATTTGTTTAGTTTTCTCATAATAGATCAATTAGTTGCATTTTATTATGGGTTTGTGGTGTTTTTGTATCCATAATGTACTAATTGTATACTATACTTAATTATTATAAATTGCAGACATGGGTAAATTTAAGAAGTTTCGGCTTATTATTTATTGGAATGGTCGGGTGACAAACTCGAACATTGGGATCGACTATGAAGATGGCGAATCCAGTATGCTTACAATTGAGTCGAGATTCTCGTGGCAAGAACTCCATGACAGGTGTGCAGAAAGGACTTGTACGGGCGGGCAAATGAGAGTTCGTCAAATTACTTACCGGTATCCCAACATGAGTGCTGACGGAGTCATGTACGAAAAAGTTGACATAAATGATGATGACGACGCGAACATGATGACACAGTTCATATCTGAGAACGGGGTGCGGCTTGCAGAGGTGTATGTCGAGACCGAGCCGGTCGGTGAAACTCATTCTCACCAGTATTCTTATGATGATGGTTTTGCAGGAGGGTATGGCTGGGGTGGTAGTTCAAGTAACTACGGAGCAGGTTCTTCTGCCGGAGGGTATGGTTGGGGAGGTACTTCAAGCAACTACGGAGGAGGTAGTTCTGAAGGAGGTGTTGGGTGGGAAGAATACCTGCCACATGGTGGTGAGACTGCCGTCGATATCGTTCAGCTCGACGGTGATCAATGGCCTGCTTGGGGTCCAGAGTGGGGTGACATTGAAAACACCCTTCGAACTGGGCGTACTTCGCATGACCAAGAAGGCGATGCTGGTTATGCTGCTAACGATGACCATCCTTCGCCGAGCTATCCATTCGCCTCCAGTGACGATGAAAGTGAGGAAGATTTGAGATCAGTCAGTGAGGAGGAAGATACGGACGATAACGACGATACTTGCCCCGCATTCAGTGGTGGATGCCCCTGACCTTCGACGGGCGTGGTGGTCGGCATGTTGAACCCCAGACGTTCCTGAATCAATGGCCCCCAACCATCTTCTGGTTTTCTCGAGTTGTCGATGATGGCATCTCCGGTGATCGGGAGCCCGGTGAGGATGGCAACATCTTTGAGGGTGATCGTCATTTCACCCTCGGGAAAGTGGAAGGTATGCAGCTCAGGGCGCCATCGCTCTGCCTCAAATTGTGCAATCCCGCCCTCTCTAGATAGGGATGCATTCGAGGATGCCAACGGGGCAATCGACATGTTCCTCGATGACTGATGGGAATAAGTGATTCCTACAAAACAAAAAACACAATATTGTCAGTCAATAGAAAGCAAAATAAAAACTTAGAAAGCAAAATAAAAACTTTAAAACTATTGAAATAATTTTAGTGTGTCTACCGGATTATTGTTCCAAATTGAACGAGAGCGATGTTGATCTTGCCCGGTTAAATACCTTCGATCCCTTGGGCCAGGATCGATATACAATCTAGGGTCGTATATCTCAGCACCCATCTATAAAAAAATATGAAATCAAATCAATTTAAATTTTAGCACCCATGTAAAAAAAAAAAATCACAAAAGAACCAACCAAATTTACGTACTCTCAAAGCCTCTTCGTCCATTTTTTGCCGAAAAGCTAGCGAGAGTATCGACAAAACAACAAAACAAAAACTCTAGTAATTCTTTCTAATGCGGAAGATCGGACTTAGCCGCAACCACAGAGCATACTTAGAACGAAACTAGAGTGAAGTTGGAGGGAGAAAGAAGTATAAAATTTGGTGGTGTGGTTTGGAATGAGGGGGGGGGGGAGTGGTATTTATAGGGGGGAAGGGAGGGGAAGGAGGCGCTGGAAATTTAAAGAGGCCAATCACCGCTTTCCTCGCCTGCAGTGACAACACCGCTCCAGTCAAAGGCGATGATGGGCGGATCGCTGACGTGGCGAGGCGTGAGGCGTCAGATCGTGGAGAAAAACCACAATCCGCGCCTCACCGCATCGAACGGCAGCGGTGAAGGGCGCGGATGGCGCGGATCGCTGACGTGGCGGGGCGGGGCTATCACCGCCTTTGTCTTACGCGGTGAAGTCCCCGCTCCTCGCCACGTCAGCGATCCGCGCCAACTTCACCGTTTTGAATATCAACGGTGATAATGCTTCACCGTTTTTCTTATCAACGGTCAAGCTATCACCGCGTTTGTTTAAGGCGATGATAGCTTCACCGTTTTGGACAAAAACGGTGATAGCATCACTGTTGTTGTTTAAAGCGGTGATACTATCACCGTTTTTGACCAAAACGGTGAATACCATCACTGTCTTGGACAAAGACAGTGATGCTGAAACTGCTGTATTTTGGGAAATTTTTTTATAAGTATTGTATTTGAGGAATTTTTTTTAATAGGTAGGGTATTTTGGAATTTTTCCCCAAAATTGGGCATTCAAGCATTTATGCAATGCAAGCCCAAAATAGATATACTATGACTATGTTTATTACAAACAATTGGTCTTGGATATATTTTAATTACAGATTATTCTGTTAATTTATAATTTGAACAGGGCCTCCAAATATTATGGACCGGCCCTGACTCAAATGACAAGTTTGTCAAATACTCAATCCAAAGAAACTTTAGTGCTAATTCATTTGTCCACATTCTTTCCTCGCCCATATCCAGTGCATAGTCAAAGCAGTTTTCCCGTAATTTTTAACTAAATCGATATATGACGATGATTTATTTCTGTCTGTGTGTGCATGCGTTGGTTTGATGAAAACATGCAGTGGACAAGTTGAAGGGCATAATGGGGATCAAAGCTGTTGATCACGAGGGAGGTTCCAGCTGGACTTTCTACTGCTGCAAACTAGAAGAAGAGAGACTTCTCTGAGAGGGCCGATCCCATGACTAGGGGGGTCCTTAGTCACTTGACTAAGCCCCTCCTAGCACTTAAATATGGACAGACCAATCTAACGGTTAAAATGTGGGAAGGAATTTTAAATTAGTGACAGGGGTATTTTGGGTATTATGAAAAATTACGAAGTATACAAACCAGACTTACAAACAGTACACACAATACAAACATACAAACATTACAAACTATAACCACAAAACATATAAACAGATTTACAAACAATACAAACATATGAACTGTACAAACAATACAAACTAGAACGACAAACAATACAAACCATACAAAATGAAAAAACAACCGGGTTGACTTTGGAGGCTCCATCCCTATATAGAGGGGCTCCGTCCCAAAGTCAACCTGGTTGTTTTTAGACATACAAACATTACAAACATGGTGGACAAAAATGACAAATTAGACCGACAAACCATACAAAATTGAAAAACACCCGGGTTGACTTTGGAGACTCCATTTCTATATAGATGAGTTTCATTCAAAAGTCAACCAGGTTGTTTTTTAGACATAACAAACATTACAAACATGATTGACAAAATAACAAAGCTTACAAACATTACAAAAAAACCCGACAAACGTTACAAAATAAAAAAGCTTACAAACATTATAAAAGAAACCGATAAACAGTACAAAGTATACTAACCGTACAGAATTCACTACTTACAATACAAATTGGTAAACTTTCATTATAAACCAATTAATATAAAGTATATAAATCATAGCATAAAAGTATATAAAATGAACAAACAAACATTACAAATTACAATATATACAAATAGTCATATAAACATTACAAATATAATAGATAAAAATATCAAACTAGAATGATAAACGATAAAAACCAAATTTGTATAAACATTACAAACTGGACTTATAAACATTACAAAATAGGTCGACAAACATCACGAATCCAACACAGTCGTCGGAAAATCAATCTTCGCCGTCTCTGATCGTCGGACTCCTCCGTCGTCGCCGGAAAAATCTTTCTCTCTCTCCTCGTATAGGAGCTTGGACGAGAAAATATTCCCACAAAAACAAAAAAGTGGAAGGCGCAAAAGAAAGGATCGCCGCCTGGTCTCTCGGAGGTAAAGTTGCCGGAGGAGTTGCAGAGGGACGTTGGACCTGGTCGGCGGAGGCTGGATGAGTAGTGCAGGTATTTGTTTATTTATGTAATAATTGAAAAATAAAAATGTTTTGTAATTACTATATTGTCCTTCATTAAAAGAGATTAATTAGAACCATTAAATTTTAATGAAATTGAAGAATCGAGATTGGCTTAATCAAGTAATTAAGGAACCACCTTAATCGCCTGATCTTAACCCCTTCTCCAATCCGATGGCCGTTGTTAATTATGGATCTCCATTTTCGTTGTGACTTGTGAGCAAGTGTTTATCAGGACTCTCTTTGTGTCGATTTGTAATTCTTCTTGTTGATGCGCTCCACAAATATTTTATTTTGTGCTAAAAAAGAAAGCTTCATGGACGATGTTACTGAGATAATTTTGCAATGGGCCGGTTCTCAGTTTTGTCCATACATATATTCTACCGTATTACGATCATTCCATATGCATTCGCAATGCCGGAGAAAAATGAAACAATTGGAGAGGGAGAACAATAAAATAAAATGAATGATGATAATTTATTATTGTCTGAATCGATGGATATTAAGACGCACACAGCCAAACATCTCTCTTGCCGCCGTTGCAGACAAAAAGAAGAAAAATAAGTTCCAAAGTCAAGGAGAGTCTTCCTCGGGTCGATTCCAAGGAGAAAACCCTTCGTACTTAGCTCCCCCCACTGACCATACCAAAGCAAAATTTGGGGGGCAACCATAACAAAAAAATAAACGAAAATGAAACCCAAGATTGAAGTTCATCAGATGCAGTCCAAAATTTGCAGCTTGATCTAAGCTATCAATCCAGCTCCAGTTCCTTCAACCTGCGCCCGACCAAAATCACGGAGTTAGCTCTAATAAGCAGATCCATTTAATAACGTAAATGTCTAGGAGAATGTGGGCGTGTAGAAACAGGGGAAACAGAGCATTAAGTTCTGATCAACGACCTACCTCTGTTCCTCGTCGGAGAAGTCGTCGTCGTAATCGTAATCGTAGTCGGAGGAGCAGTCTTCATCTTCATCGTCGTCATCATCATAGAAGGGGAGGGGGACATCGTCGGTCTCGATCCGCTCCACGTCATCGACGAGGCACTGGTACCTGCTCTGCACTTCGTCGGGGGTAGTGCCTTCCCCGACAACGTCGGCAATGACCTCCCATCGGTCCGGGGTGTCCTCGTCGTACATCGCCAGCGCCACCTCGAACAGCTTGTTCATCTTGGGCGTCCACAACGGCGAACACGCTTCCCCCATCTTTGAATGAATCGCAAAATCGGAATGAATATAGGCCAAAGAAGGAGACAGGAGCAGAACAATGGAGACTGAAGGGAATTAAGAGGGTTTGAGGGAGTCAAAGTAGATAGAATAGAGCAAGTTGGAGGGAGATGGTAATTAGTATAATAGAATGTTAGAGGATCGAGGTGAGGGAGACAATGGGAAGAAAGTAAGGCATATATAGAGCAAGAGGGCAGACAGCTAGCTAGCTGCATAGCTCTGGAAGGAATTGATGGGGGGAGATCATATCAGAGTGATCATAGTTCCCAATAATCACGTCCCCTTCCATGTCCTGCTATCTCGAAGCCTTTTCTTCTAAAAATTGCCTCTTTCTCAGTTTTCAATTTTGTCCTGCTTGCGTGCAATCCAACCTTGTCTGTGTTTGCTAGTACGGATGCTTGTCTTTTTATATGCTAGCTAATCATAATGATGACAACCGTTTTCATCTCATTGATCTGCTTCATTTATTGGTTCTCTAACTAATATTGCTCACGAGCTAGTTGTAACCCCACCCTCTGGCCTCTCTCTTGTTGAAATAGATACTAGTTTGTATGTAAGGAATTGGTTGATCCCAATAACTCGATCGAGATGTTGGATATGTTATTTTCTTACATATTTTTTTTCAAACGAAAGGTGATTCAAATATCTAAAATTTGTACAGGTCCAGCATGCTGTGAAAGGATATGCTAGCTGAAGGGTAGCTGGAGATATGTTGTACTTTCGACTTCTTGGATATCACTTCATCACGGGTGAAGTGACAATCGATCTTGACGTGTTTGGAGTGTTAAGATAATCAAACATCATTTGTTTATTGTAGTATTATTACTTTGTCATTGTTTTTTGACAATTTGTGCAATTTGTATTCCTTTTCATTAGCATGGAAGGAGTTGAGCATTTGTTAATTGACATAATAGAAAGACGAATTCTACTACAATAATAGTAGAAGAACTATTTTTTTACAAAATTACATAGTAGAAAGACGAATTCTACTACAATAATAGTAGAAGAACTATTTTTTTACAAAATTACATAGTAGAAAGACGAATTCTACCTGTAACCCTAAACGTTGACCACATATAGTATACATATTATACTTTTTCACCCAAGTTTGTATACTAATCACATAAATTAATTTCTATTCATTCACAAAATCTATTTTTTCACCCAATTTCATCAATCAATCACACAATCTAACCTATCATTCTTTATTAAACGATTGTCGTGAGATCAAATGCAACATACAATTATGGCTAAATTGCAAATTTGGTCACTGAAATTACTTAAAAATTTCACGTTTGCCACTAAAATTAATTTATTTCATTCGTAGTCACTTAAATTAGGTTAACAATTCAAGTTTGGTCACTGGCCGTTAGTCTCCGTTAACTTTTGCTGATGTGGCGGTCAACTCTTATAGTTGACCGTTAAATGAGTGATGTGGCAATTAAAAAATTAATTTTATTTAATTATTTTTTATTTTCCACCTAATTATTATAAAACTAAAAAAACCTAATTCCTTTTAATTATTATTTTCCACCGCCCGTCGCCGTTCCTCTCCCTTCCGGTCGACGACCTCTCCCGGCCGGCAAAGCCCCGCGTCATCACCGCCCGTCGCCGTTCCTCAATCCCTTCTCCACATCCTTCATCTTCGCCATGGCGCCGTACAGAAACTCCCTCCCGGGCCACGGCCTGGTCTTCCTGTTCGTCCCCTTCGCCGGAATCGAGGGGGCTTCCTCTTCTCAGAACCTGGGGTTCCTCAATCGCACCATCGATAACGATCCCAACACCCGAATCTTCAGCGTCGAGTTCGACGTCTTCGCCAACCAGGAGTTCAACGACAATCATGTGGGGATCGATCTCAGTTCGCTCACCTCCAGATTCGCTAGCGAGGCCGGCTACTGGCCGGATTCCGGCGCCTGATTCGAGACGACGAGGCTGAACAGCGGTGAGAACTACCAGGTGTGGATCGATTACGCGGAAGGGTCGATGAATGTGACGATGGCGAGAGCAGGGGCGAGACGGCCGAGGCGGCCGTTGCTTAACGTTTTGGTGGATCTCTCGGAGGTTTTCGAGGACGAGATGTACGTCGGGTTCACTGCTTCTACAGGGCAATTAGTACAGAGCCACAAGATTCTAGCCTGGAGTTTTAGCAATTCGAATTTTCCCCTGAGCGAGAGTTTGATTACTACTGGCTTGCCGTCTTTCGTGCTTCCGTCGGATTCGAATCTCCAATTGAAAGGGTTCAATGCCGGGGTAACGGCGGGGAGCTTGGTCTTGGTAATTGACGACGTTTTGAGTGCCCTTTTTCTAATCAGGAGGAGGAGAAAAACAGGGGAGAATAAAGACGAGGAAATGGGAAATTGGGAGTTGGAGTACTGGCCGCACAAAATTGCTTACCAAGGAATTGCGGCGATGGCGCGGGGCTTGGCCGGTCGGGAGAGGTCGTTGACCGGAGGGGAGAGGAACGGCGACGGGCAGTTGAAAATAATAATTAAAAAGAATTAAATTTTTTTATTTTTATAATAATTAGGTGGAAAATAAAAAAATAATTAAATTAATTTTTTAATTGCCACGTCACTCATTTAACGGTCAACTATAAGAGTTGACTGCCACATCAGCAAAAGTTAACGGAGACTAACGGCCAGTGACCAAACTTGAACTATTAACCTAATTTAAGTGACTACGAATGGAATAAATTAATTTTAGTGGCAAACGTGAAATTTTTAAGTAATTCCAGTGACCAAACTTGCAATTTAGCCATACAATTATTTTCTAGTGCCGCCTGAGTGGAGTTTACTACTACTGCATACCCCTTGTCACCTTTCTTTTATGTCCCTTGGATAACATCTCATAAACCAACCTCATCTCCGGCCTAAACTGTGGATCAACATTCAAACACAGCGCTGCAATCCTCACAACGTTCTCTAGCTCTTGCCGGAATCCAGGCACAGGCCGTGCGAGCCGCCGGTCTAGCAGATCATCCAACGACACCACCGCCGCCCCGGCCTCCTCCTCCTCCTCCGTAGAAGATGCCAATGACAACACAAGTTCCCCTAGATGGCTCCCTCTAATCACTTCCAGCGCCACCACTCCAAAACTGTACACATCGCACTTCTCCGACACCCTCATGGTGTATGCCAACTCTGTCGCGTAAACCAAATACAGTTAGGTGTCATTTAAGGGATACAAACTTGTGACCTCCAGATTCGAAACCAATCAGTAACACTAAACGAAGCTCGTTTTACCTGGAGCAATGTAGCCACGGGTGCCAGCCTGTGTAGTATCATATATGCGTGATGTAACTGAGCAAGCTCGAGGTATAATATGATGAAATCTCTTTCCATCAGTAACCGTAGAGTCAATTGGTTGTGTTGGGTTCTGAGCAGTGTAAGCATCCGGAAGTGAGAAGGATATGGTGGATCTTGTATGCATTAGGAGCTAGACCATTTACTTGGCTAGAAGTCTGTTGCTGCATGACCTGAAGCATTTGTTGGTACTATTCTTGGAAGTTGTTCCATTAAGCCTTATTGATTTGAAAAGAGTTAGATGGTCAACACGATCCACAGTCACACTATTAGCATTGCAGGACTGACCTTTATTCTTTTATTGATACATAGGAGGATGTCCATTTTCTTGTAACGAAACCTTTGTAGTATGGGCAGTACAACTGCAAAAGGTACAAATATGCTTCTTTCCCTTTTTTCATAAATCCATTATCAGCACCCTGAGCACCTAAATATGGACTAGTAGCCTTAGTGAAGAAGGCCATGAAATCATAGACAGGTTTGATATTCTGAACACTACAAGGTTGTGATATGAGGCCATTCTCTCATTCACGTTGGATCATCATTGCAAACACCTTATAGAGATGTGTTAGGGGATCTAACAACAGAGTGGTTGATTGAGGGTCATTAAAACTATCATTAGGGGGTTTTAAGGAACCTAATGACCTTATCATTTGTGTGATCTTCCTAAGCATGGCAAGAATACACTTAGAAACTAAACCACATTCACAGTCATGATGAATCTCTAATTACATAATTAATCCCATAAACCTTTCTATGTAGAGAAGAATTGACAAACACTAAGAAATTCTTGCTTCAGTGCAAAGATGGACTCTTGTAGAATGAAAATACAAAAGGAATCACCTTAGAAACTATCCACAAAGCTCGTTCTAGGAACCAAGAGCGTAGGTGTAGTAGTGAATGCTATTGTAGATCGTGAGATTGATAGAATGTTAAATCCAGCTAAGCAAGAGTTTGTTGTTGCAACTCCATGGTTCGTAGTAAGAAGAACCTTGCGGAGTAGAGATCTTTAGATTCAAGAAGTTGAGTTTTTTCTTGTCATAAAGTAAGAGGATCATCAATCTCTCTGATTGAGGAATTTGATTCAGTGAGCGGCCGAGAAACCAAACACTGTCCCCCAATTTTCACTTAGATGGATGAAAATGGGCTCGAAGGATCAGTGATTGGTATTCCATTGTTGCAAATCGGGGTTGCATTGACATTGGATCCTCCAGTATGAGTAATTATCATTGGAGGGATGCCATCATTTCCATAAGTGAAAGAATCTACTGAAGCTGCCATAGGAGGAAAATTATAGGTTTAGCACAAGAGAAAGAGGGAAAAAAAATAAAGAGAGAGGAGTATTTGAGTTCATTGTAACTCTAACATCAAACTAGAAACTGAATTATGATTCATTGAGTTCGCATTGATAAGTTGCAAAAGTGGTTAATTAATTTGTAGTTAATCAACTTTTATACAAAGGAACTAAGGAAGAAAGCGGAAAGTCTGTTATGACTTTAACGGATAAAAACTAAATTAGATACAATTACTTAACCTTATTGAATATACACCACCTACTCCTTTGAATGATTACCTAATAATACATATTTACTGAAAAAATTTCAATCAAGTCATATTCTATTCATTTTCCCCCTATTATAAATGGACGCAAAAAACGCCCTCTCTTTCATTCATAACCAACCAAAGTTCGGAGATCCCCTAAGAAACAAACACGGTCAAATGACACGGTATAAGATCGAATAACGAAACAAACATGAAATGATAGCAAATGTCCTTGCCTATTCAAATAATCTGCACACTTATGACCCTCTTTATAAGTGTGGAAAATTTTAACTTCCTTCTTTATCTAACAGCTCCTAAAATCACTATATAATAGTAACATGTTGGTAGACGCTATTGTCTTTGCTCTGAAGCAGCTGGGCTGCGCACTGGAAGTCAAGTTTTACTTGGACTCTCACGCGCCCAACATCCTATGTGCGAGTGATGGAACATATACCCAGTTTCATAGCAAGCGTTGTCAAACATCATCCTACATTATCTCAAATAAAGCCATATGTTACTTAGGACTTGAGGTTGTGTGGCTAGAACCTTCGAAGTTGAGAATACCCACTCAAGGGGGGGGGGGGCAACTTCCACACGATCACCACCTATGTTATCGCGGGAAAATTAGGATGATGAGAAAGCCTATGGTCATCTAGACTACATTTAACCATACCCGAACTCACTTCCAAAAGCATCATGTTGTGGTGATTCTGCCTGTAAATACTCTTTCCTTCCTGGGTTTTCAAAGACACCAACAGGTAGCACCAAACTCTAAAGTTGTGTACTGCTATCTTAGGTACCATTGTAGGCGACCCTATAGCGTTGCTCTGAAAAAGTGTTGGTGTTCAGAAGATGAGATTATTTGCATCCAAGTTATCCGAGGAAAATGATAGTCCTGCAACACATGCAAGACTTTTATTTGTTTGTTGCAGATCACGCATGTCGCCCTCCTGGTGATTTTTGGTCTATGTCATTTTCCATTCGTCAAGAGTTGGTCTAGGGCCACCAGCCAAAGGAAATGAATGATGCTCGTTGGTACTTTCTAGATCCAGACATCACGCTAAAGATTTGTTGGCTCTACCTCGCCGTGGCTCATCGACAACTCATAAGTCGATCGAATTCTGAATCGATTGCCCTTTTGCGGGCCCCAGATGGAGCGATCTTCTCCTAAACCCTCTCTCGGGAGTTGTACACCAAGAACCTGCAAAACCATTTCATGGTGTAAGAAATGAGTGAGTCGAGAGAGGTCCCACTCACCTTGATCATTCACGAAATCAACGACTGGTTGCTTGGGGGTTCGGTACCATTGGCCGTTCATTCACATGATCGAGTAAGACTTCCCTGCTATTCAACCATGCACTAGTCCACCCAAAATTTCGTATCTTTTTATGTCTGATACAATTCAAATTATTGGAACGAACTAGTACTTGACATACATGTATGAGTTGTTTTAACAAGAGGGGACGGGTTAGCATGCTAACCCTTTAAGGGGTTGGTTTTTTGACACCCCCCTTTTAATTGGTCAATTTTTCATTAATTATTGACAAGTATTAATGAAAATAAACATAATAAATGTTCTGTTATTAAATACAAAGTAAGCATTAAATACACCACATTAATTACCACTTTATTGGTATTTGTACCACTGCACTGATACTCAGATATGACATTGCTACCAGTGCACTGATATCGCTACCAGTGCAGTGGTATATCTACCAGTACAGTGGTACAACGTATCAGTGCAGTGATATATCTACCACAGTGGTACAACGTATCAGTGCAGTGGTATATCTACCAGTACAGTGGTACACCGTATCAGTGCAGTGGTATATTTTTTGGAGGTGGTCGGAGGGAGTCTGCCGATGGGATTTTCACCGGAGAAGTGTGACGGTCGGAGGAAGTCTGGTGGTCGAAGACTGCTGAAAAAAAGGAAAAATAAAATATAGTGAGAGAATTCCTAATGTGTATTTAATGTGTGTATTTAATTCCTAATGTGTATTTAATAGTGAGAGAATTCCTAATTAATATGGTACATTTAATTCCTAATGTGTATTTAATGTGTGTATTGAATTCTATAGTTGTATTTAATATACTAGGGGTGTCATTTTTCCAACCCCTAAGGGGGTTAGCATGCTAACCTACCCCTAACAAGAGAGGTCAGAGAAGGCCGGTTCCCTATACATGTTTTCTTGGTAAGAATGAAACTGAAGCCGTGGCCCCTAGAAATGCCCTCTCATCTTATCTCAACCAACGGGGATTGCAACTCGTTTTGATGCGATATGCCTGGCTCTAATTAGTTAACCATTAAACGAATGCTTGGTAATTAATTTATGTTAATCTGATTACCAGCTAGCTAGCTAGCTACCTGCCTAGTTGTATGTGTCCTTTATATCTCCGAAGTTAATTGAAGAAACCCAAATGAAATTAATTAACCTATATAACAAGGGGTTTGGGCAGATCGGGCAAGGTATATATATTGCAACTTGTGTGGTGTTCGGCAGCTAGCTGCAAAATGGTTTGCACCAGATCGATGTGAACTCAACTCAAGTGATCACGCGCGCAGGCAGGCGCTAATTACAATTAATGAATGCTAAAACTCTAAACTAGTACTTGGTCAATGAATGAATATTATTAATAATTAATACCGCTTAATTGTCTCCAAAATCTCGAGACCAGATACAACAGTTGGCAGGCAGCTACTCAACTTGGCGACATTAATAATAGCAGCATGCTTTGTCAAAAAACAAAAAATAATAATAATAATAATAATTATACTAATAATAATAATAACAGCATGCCGTTTGTTCTTTTTGTTTTCCCCTGAATCAAATTGAAAATGCCAAGTAAATAAATAAAGGACGAAGAGCAGGCCAGAGTTGGTCTAGCCGGTGAAGTTTTCAAGGAGTTAGATTAGTTTAGTTTGTAGACATATACGTACGTAACCATATTTCTTTCGGCAGCGGCAGCAGCAGGCCTAGCCAAAAGTCCAAAACATTGGACGGAGCTCGATCGGCTAGCCAGGAACCAAGTCTTCTGCACCTAGTTCTGATATTTCCAGGTGCTTTCGTATAGCGCGTATCGGCGTATGTATTCCCATTTGTAAACGGACGAAGAGCAGGCCTGAGGCTGTCAGCTGTCCAGCTAGCTAGGAGCTCTTTCTCTTTGAACTTTGGACTACTTGATTACTTTGTACGTGGGTTACGTAACCATATTTCTTTCGGCAGTGGCAGGTGCAGCAGCCCTAACAAAAAGATTGGAGGGAGCTCGATCGGCTCGCAACCA